AAATGCCCTATGGGCTTACATCTTTCCAAGCCAACACTTGGATACAAAATATGAGTTCATCAATGTCATAATTGTACTTTTTAAATTGTTTATTAATTTAACAGAAGGGCAAAATAGGAAATTTACATTATTTTTGTACTTGATTTATAAAGAAGGACTAATATTTTGGGACAATGAAAAATAGAATAAGGGACTAATATTTTGGGACGGAGGGAGTAAATAAATTGAATGATCGTAATATATTTAATTTATTTAACTTATCACACAAAAGAAAAAATTATTTATTTTTAAAAATACAAATTTTTTTTTTTGTGACAACACAATAAATTTAATAGATTATGATTATCAAATCGATCTATTTTTTAAAAAATAATATACATAAAGTACTCGACAAAACAAATCGTTCAAATCATTTACAGCGAGCTTCACGGATCTGATGAAATGAACAGTTTAGATCATCGAAATGAGACTTATGGTGAGCCCCATAGATCCGAACAGCACCGTCACAATTATGGATCAAAGGAAATGTATCTATATATCATTTGTCTATATACATATACATATATATATATATATATATATATTAATTTTTTTATCTATCTATATATACATATCATCTCTTTATCGACTTTATCACCTTCATCAACTTCACCAACATCACCATCCAAATCACCATTTTTATTGCCACCGAACTCCATTACCGCCACCATGAGCATCACTATCACCACCACCTTTCAACACGAAACTCACCTCATTCACAACCAAGTTCCATTACCACCACCATCACCGCGAGTTCCGTTGTCAATGCCGAATTGCCACCACCACTATCACCAACTCAATTACCACCTAGAACTATCACATCATGTTATAAGTGAAGAAGAAGAAAAATAAAGAAGACGGAGGAAAAAGAAACAAAAGATGAATTTTTTGGAATTTTCAAAGTTAGTTTTCGGACAGCTTTTGGCATACCAAAACCGCCCATTACACAAAGAAGTGAGAAAGCGAGGTCTTGTAGGACAAAATAGGAAGTGAGGTGAAGAGAATGGTGAAAGAATGAAGTATAACCATCAAGAATAGAGCAAGATGTGAAGTCCGAAAGATGACTCGAAGAAAAGTCAGAAACGAGAAAAAGTCTTTTTTTTTTATTATCAACTTTCGGAGTTCTGACGACATGCAAAAAGAGGAAGACAGAGACGTGTGAGAGGTGATACGAAAATTAGGCCATGAGGTGAATTCAACAACGTAAAAAATAAGGCGAAACGGAATTATGACAAAAGAGATGAAGGGCTTGAAATGGTAGTTAGTGGTGGTGGTGGTTTGCTAGTAAAAAAGAATGAGTCTGCATCTTTCTTTTGAAATTTGAGGTCAAAATATAATTTTTTTTAACTTTCTCCGTTTTAAATGTGACGATAGAGGCAAAATTGATACAATTTCAAAAACTCGATTATTACAACAAAAAAAGGTTTTTATTCTACGACGTGCAGCGCATGTCATATTATGACCAATTATGGAAAATCATTCACTTTCAACGACATGCTTCGTACACCGTTAAAAATTATATAACGGCAGATTTTGTGCGTCGTTGTTACTTTTTCTATGACATGCTATAGTACGCCGTTAAAAACTATTTAATGGTAGATTTTGTGTGTTGTTGTTACTTTTTTTATGACTACTTTTGCACACCGTTAATTGGCGAGGCAAATAATGACGCTGATTGCACATCGTAAAATATGTAATACAACGACTTATTATGCCTGCCACAGAATATGCAACTTTTTTATAAAAAATTTTTTTTTAAATTCAGCAGGTTCTATTTGACCAATTTTGTATAATCTAACAAATATTACAAACAAGCATCACAAAATATCAATCAACCACCAAATATTATTTGAAACATCAAAAAGAATCTATATCATTAAATTATAAACATTCAACAAGTATCTATACATTCCAAACATTCGAAAACTATATTCTTAAGTTCTAAATTGTACGAAAAGTTTAAACCACCCAAAACTATGCATATCTAACCTTCTAAACATATCGACAACTATTAAGAGATTATCTAAAACTACCGACAACAGTTCATGTAGCAGTTGCAGCTGCAGCTGTAGCAAATCCACTTGCTCTTATCACAAGAACAAGGGTGCCCAATGTATGTGTTAAGGCACCTAAACCCGTGGCAGTAACTAAAACAACTAACCCTGTTGCATTTCTTGTCTGCATGAAAATCCAACCAAATTAACTATGCACTCAGTTTAGTTTACAAGTAAAGTTTTTTGTGTCTAATAACAAGTTCACCCTTCTATGCATGAAATTATTTTCTGCAGTCCGTTAAGCATGTTAGATACTAACAAAATGTGATGAAGTGTTTACTTTCCATTGAGAGAGAGTGAAACTTACTTGTACAGATAAGCAACAATCCCAAGAATTACGCACAACAGTATAATATCAATAAAAAAATTTCGACTGGACCTTAGTTGGAACAAAAGGAAAACTCTCCATCAAATCTAATAAAGGGATCTATAACAAAGCACAACTAAATATAGATAGAAATTTCCTGCCCCCCATCTAACCCCTGGAACACAAATTGATTCAAATCTGTAGAAAATACTGGCTCAATCACCTGATTAACAGTGTCTTTAAGTCTCACATGTTGGAGTGAGTCCAGCACACTCTTGCTTTACACCTCATGCCAACATATCACTCTTGCTTTACAACCCATGCCAACATATCACTTTTCCTTTACAACTCATACCAACAGATTGTAGCTTCTAATATTGTAAAATAGTTTTTCTAGTATCTCTATATATTGTACTATGTTTCATCAAATTAATAAAGAGAAAAGAATTATATTTGATATGGTATCAGAGCAAGATCTTGGGTTCCCTGTTTTTTTATCAGACAGGGGTTCAGATTTGCCTCAGCCTCCATGGCTGAACCCACTGAAACCATCTTGATAATCTAACATCAAAAATGACGGAGGTTTTGTCAAAGGTTCAGACCTCTTCCCCTTCCATCACTGATTCCTCGATGGTTCCAATCAGCATCAAGTTGGATGGTTCCAACTATGGATTATGGTCCCAGGTTGTTGAGATGTACATCTCAGGAAAAGACAAACTGGGATACATCAATGGAGACGACCACCAACCACCAGAAATCGATCCCTCCTTTCGTAAATGGCGCACTGAGAATGCCATGGTGAAAGGCTGGTTAATCAACTCCATGGACCATTCCTTGGTCGTGAACTTTATTCGTTACCCAACAGCTAAGCAGGTATGGGATTCTACTGCCACAACCTACTTCGATGGCACTGACACCTCGCAGGTATACGAGCTCAGACGTCGTGTATCTCGAATGAAACAAGCAGGCGGATCTATAGAAAAATACTATAACAATCTACAGGGCTTGTGGCGAGAAATCGATTTTTGTCGACCGAATCTAATGAAATGTACAAGTGACATACAAAGCTACAACTCCAGTTTACAGGAGGAGCGAGTCTACACTTTTCTTGACGGACTAGATGATTGATTGGATCATGTTCGGAGCGATGTTCTTTGCCTAAAACCTTTTCCTTCAATTGAGCAGGTTTATGCTTACATTCGAAGGGAAGATCTCAAATACCACAACAAAATGGTGTCGCCGAGAGGAAAAATCGACATATTTTGGAAACAGCTCGTGCCCTTCTCCTTGGAGCAATGGTGCCGAGTTGCCATTGAGGGGCTGTAGTGGCTACTGCCGTGTACTTAATCAACCGTATGCCCTCTAAAATTTTGCACTTTCAAACCCCCTTACACATTCTCTCTACTTATATATCCCTTCTTTCAATATTGATGCTTCCTCCTAGAATTTCCGGGTGTGTTGCTTTTGTCCACCTCCACAAGAATCAACGTACCAAATTGGACCCCTGTGTCGTTTGGTGCTTATTTTTGGGATATGGTTTCCATCAAAAAGGCTTTCGGTGCTATGATCCCACTACCCGCCGCACCTATATCACCATGGATGTTTCATTTCTTAAGTCCGAGAATTTCTATCCTTCCCCGGTATCCACTTCTTCTCTTTAGGGGAAGCCTCACGTAGAAGAGACGAATTGGTTGATGGCTCCCGTCGGTAAGCATGGGCCTGGAAATCGAGAGGTTGAACCACATGAGGTACCACCAGAAATTGACTCTGTCGAGTTGAGACGTGAAGAACCTGGAAATGAAGAAGCTGAAGAACCAGGAAATACAGAGTATACTCGGTCCCCTCACTCCTCAGTACCCGAAGACCCTCCTCCTCCTGAGAATGTCCTTGAGGTAAGTACTCCTACTGCACCTTTACATGCTAATATCTTGGATTCCTTTACTGGTTATGTGTTGCCTTTTAGATACAATCGTGGGAAACCACCAAACAGATACAGCCCAGATAAAGAGGAAAGAAAGTCCAAGTACCCAATTACAAATTATGTATCTACTCAAGATCTGTCCAAGCCGCTCAAGACTTTCACTCAAACACTATCCTCCTACTATATTCCCAGTAGTGCTGAGGAGGCGTTATCTGATCCAAAGTGGGCACAAGCAATGCAAGAAGAACAAGAAGCCTTAAAGAAAAATAATACCTGGAAGTTGGTCCCATTACCGGAAGGGAAAAAAATAGTGGGATGCAAATGGGTGTTCTCTATAAAATACAAGGCTGATGGATCAATTGACTAATACAAGGCGAGACTTGTGGCAAAGGGTTTTACCCAAACGTATGGCATAGACTACTCAGAAACCTTCTCACCAGTAGCTAAACTAAATACCGTTAGAGTCTTGCTATCTCTTGTAACAAATTTGGACTGGCCACTACATCAACTCGACGTAAAGAATGCTTTCCTTCACGGAAACCTTGACGAGGAGGTATACATAGATATTCCGCCAGGATACACAGGTTCGGCTGGAACCAAAATTGTGTGTAAATTGAAGAGGGCTTTATATGGACTAAAACAGTCACCGCGAGCGTGGTTTGGCCGATTTAGTTCAGTTATGAGGAAGTATGGCTATTGCCAAAGTAACTCTGACCATACTCTCTTCCTAAAACATCGACAAAGCAAGGTGACAACATTAATAGTCTATGTGGATGATATGATAATTACTGGGGATGACACCGATGAGATCTCGAGGCTACAAGAACAATTGTCTACTGAATTTGAAATGAAGAACTTGAGAGGGCTTAAGTATTTTCTGGGAATAGAGGTGGCGAGGTCAAGAAAAGGCATATTTCTCTCTCAACGGAAATATGTACTAGACTTATTGACGGAAGTGGGATTACTAGAGTGTAAACCTATGGATACGCCGATTGTGAAGAACCATAGGCTTGGAGAATATTCGAATCAAGTGCCTGCTGATAAGGTAAGGTATCAAAGACTAGTGGGAAAGCTCATTTACTTATCTCACACTCGTCCAGACATTGCCTACGCCGTAGGTGTGGTAAGCCAATTTATGCGTAATCCGAGTGAAGATCATATGGGTGCCGTAGTTAGAATTCTCTGCTATCTAAAGTCATCACCAGGAAAAAGACTAATGTTCTCCAAGAACGCTCATCTAAATATTGAAGGATACACGGATGCAGACTGGGCTGGAAATATCTTGGATAGAAAGTCTACTTCAGGCTACTTCACATTTGTGGGAGGAAACTTGGTTACATAGAGGAGTAAAAAGCAGAAGGTAGTGGCATTGTCCAGTGCTGAAGCTGAGTTCCGAGGCATGGCAAAAGGATTATGTGAGCTTCTTTGGCTTAGAGGTTTGCTAACAGAGGTCGGTTTTCCTCCTGATTCTGCAATGAATTTATTCTGTGATAACAAAGCTACCATCAACATATCTCACAACCCAATTCAACATGACCGGACTAAGCACGTGGAGGTAGACCGACATTTCATCAAACAGAACCTGGAAAAGCAGATTATTCAGTTCCATTTCGTTAAATCTGAAGATCAGCTGGCTGACATTCTTACCAAAGCATTTTCCTGCAGAAACTTCAATGACTTACTTGACAAGTTAGGTGTTAAAGACATCTACACACCAACTTGAGGGGGAGTATTGGAGTGAGTCCAGCACACTCTTGCTTTACACCTCATGCCAACATTTCACTCTTGCTTTACAACCCATGCCAACATACACTACTAAAAAAAGTACTTTTTGCAACCGCTACAAGCCGTCGCAAATAATAAAAAAATAGTCGCAAAAGACTTTTTGCGACGGCCCATGCGACAACAAATGAGGGTCGCAAATGTGGGGGTGGCAAATACTTTTTGCGACCGCAAAATAACAGTTGCAAACTATTTGCGACCGTCTAACCTACTTATAGCGACTGATATTTTGCCATCGCAAAAGAGTTTAAAAAAGGCCTACAATGTATTAGCGACCATCTTACCGTCGCAAAAAAAAAAAAAAAACAAAAAAAGAAGAATCATATATATATATATTCAAATATTATATACAATAAACGTAAAGACATATTTGCAAAAATCTCAATATTCATGCATTATTTTTCATTTCTTCCCTCAATAAAATTCTCTTTGAAAAAAAAAAAAACCTATCCACAAATCATACAGATATGTCCAAAGAGGTAAACAAATATCCCTAAAAGAAGAGGCACAAACACATTATTTTCCATTTCTTTCCTCAATAAAACCATATGTAATCAAGGATTTGGGGCAGCTCACTAAAACCAAAACCTGTTTAGGGGCCTCATAATTGGATTATGCGGACCATGAACACAGTCAACGGCAGCGACAGAGCCGTAGCAAAAATATATGTATTCCTTTGCACAACCTGCAAGGGTAGGCTCAAAAAAACTGGCTCTGTAGTGGACACCTGAGACCAGCTGCAATCCGCCCAGAAAAATAGTCCCTGCAGCCATTCTTCATGTCAATGATCTGCCAACAGTGCTTCAGGTTACTACCAACATTCTTTACAATTGTACCACCCATCTTCAATCTTGGAGAATTAGTAGAACCTGTCCAAAATTGTAAATGGAGTGAGTACAACCAAGCAGAAACCCAGCCTATGTATAGGATGCAAGAAACTAATTAAAACATAATGAACGGGCTAACTTCACTCAACCCACAATATATTGGCTCACAACACTCGAACAATAATTTACAACACACAATATTAGAACTAATATCCTCAACCCACAATACAGATCACATGAGCAATATATCCATAAAATGACCTGGTAAAAATACAGGACTATCAAAGTTGCCGAGTAATTTCATAATCACAACGTGTGTAGAAAATTTACAAGACTATTATAGAGGAATACACAATAAAAGGAAATTCAAGGAAAAATTTTGTATTTATGATTGCACATGAGAAGCCAGCTTTGAAGAGCAAAGGCACCATTTCAAATTTCAAATATAAATGGAAATTCAATCAGGAGCTGAAAAAAATAAAGAAAAAGAGTAGCAGCCTTGAATCATAAATTTCTACTGCCGAAGCCAGAGGTCCTTAATAATAGATCTAGGAGGCAGATACATAAAAAAAAAAACCAAATTTATGACATGAACTCAAAAAAAAAAAAAAAAAAAAAAACAAATCAAATGTATGACATGAACTCAAATGGTGAGTAGGGAAGAGTTATTTTACTGTACTAACAATAGCAACAACTAATGTAGTTGTAATTTGTCTAGGAATATATTCAAGGAAAATGATACATGTCACCAAATGAACATTGTGTTGTGTGGATTCAAGTGGGCGTTGAAAAAACAAATGAAATTCATTAGTGATACATTGATGTAGAGAAGTGTATTAAATGAATGAAAATACAAAGAAAAATAAGAATGATACTAAAGAGAGAACTATTTTGTTGAATTTTTTTTACTCAATCAATGACTAACTATAGTTGCCAAAACTATTCCTTTTCTGTTGGGAGTCAATATAGTTGAAAGTTTGAAATCTTCATTGGAAAATCCCATGATCTTGTAGCAAGCTTTGAATAATGTTCTCTACATTACAAGTGGACCAAAGGTTATAATAACTGATTGATTTATAAAGGTGGAAGTATGATGGTTTACTTAGTACCTTAGGCTAAATAGGATATGAGGTAGCCTTCCATGAACTGATTGAGGATATCAGAGAAAGTTCACTCAAAACATGGAACAATTAACATAATAAACTTGTAATCAGTTAACTAAAACCTCAGCTAATTCACTGCAAAAAGGTAACCTTCCATGAACTGATTGAGGAATCAGATAAGGCTATATGCAAAGAACCTGTTTGCATAGTGTCTTTTACAGTTTACACAAAGAACTGGTAAACATTTCAGAAATAGGCGTTCACAGTACCAACACTAAGCAATATATTAGCAACATTCCATCTCGAGAATGTATATTAAGATATTCAAAAGATTTACCCTTCCAACATCTGGGGTACACTTAAAATATGAAAAAGAAAGAAAAATGTTTAATTAAATCTCTCATAAAAGTCTTCGTTTGAAAATAGGACCCCACATAACTGCATGTTATTTACCAGTGGAAGTGATACTCACAATCCCAAGAGAACCAAATTACAAAGATTAGGCAGTAAATAAAGAAGCCCTGCCTAACATGGCAGAGAATGCATATTGTTTACTATATGGAATAAAAAAAGTAAGCTGGTTCACCAATCACCTTGAATCATGGTCTGATGGGGGTAGCTGATTATCATACATGTTGATTTAATATTAGAATATAGTGTTGTACTTAGTTGAATACGAAAAAATGGAGTACTCCACATTAAATAAAGATCATAAATATTATATTAAAAAAAAAAGAGGAAAAAAAAATGTTATGTGATATATAAACAAATTATTTATCAACTAAGGAAATATAGTGATATCCTTCAAGAACTTCATACACATCAAATATCATAAATACATGCAGAAATATAGTAGAGTTGCATACCTATTCATTTTTTTTTGAAGCTTGTTGTCCACTAGATGCATCTGACACCTACAATATGTTAGTATAATGTGTTAATAATTTCCATTCGTATATATACAAATTGATAAAACGTAAAATTCGTTAATTTGTAAGTATTGCATCTCTCTCAAGCTCATACTCCGAGCCACACCCTGTGACTCTAAGAACAAAACACATGCCGTTAGGTTCTTGATCATCGTAGTGAACCTAGACTCAACGTCTTGTGTCACACGCTGTGTGATCTCATCAATAAATGAAGGGGCTGCTAATGATTGGGATGGACCGCTGCCTCGCGCATACACTGCACTCCAGGGCACTCCTCTCCCATAGGTCTTGCAATACCCATGTCCATCATTCCCTACGATTTTATGATAAATCCCATCGCAATACTCAATCGTATGTTGGTCCTTAGGAACTTTCCAAAGATGCACATTATATTCCTCCTACATTTTGAAAACGTAAGGACAATGTTTGGTAAAAAGCAAAATATGTGTAAGAACATTTAAACCATAGACATACCACAATTGCCACCACATCGGGATCATTCAGGTTGTGTGCCCTCTTCCAGAGACTCATCTTATCTATCCGCTCTCCTTTATGTGTCATTTGCAATTTTTTTCAAGTTAGGAGCTGAAGTCTTCACAACATAATAAGTCAAAAGTGCAGCACTAGGTGCAGCCACAAGTGTCACACCAAGTGCACTAGGTGCGGCTGCAGCTGCAGCTGCAACACCAAATGCAGTCTCAGATGATGCTTTAGGTGCAGCCACAAGATCAATACATTGAAACGAATATCTGAGAAAGATGTCCTTCCAGTCGTATGTGGAGGCCTACGAAATCCCTGATTAAAAGAATTCTTCTTAGCAATCGCCTATGACATTGGTTAGAATATCAAACATTAGTTATTTATCATTAAAACATTAATTAAAATTTTATAAAGAATACATATACCTGCACTTCTTTACTCGCCCAATATTGCACAAGTTTCCTCCACTGGGTTGGCACTATGTTACTAGGTACTCTAGAAGCAATGTCCGGATCATTCTTGAATGGAACCCAATACTTAGACTTTGTCTTGCTTTTATGATCTTTCCACGATGTCCTACAAAGTCACATACAAACCTCCTTGAATTCATCTGGACAACATACCAAGTTGTCCTACAAAGCACAAATTGAAAGCCAATTTCATCCTCATAATTATAGAGCATACACAAATGCACAAGCAAGCTAATAACTAATAACTAAACATAAACCCTAACCGTAATTAGCAAGAAATCAGAAATCAAATAACTAATAACTAATAACTCGGAAAAATTCAAAAATCTAAGCATAAACCCTAACCGTAATTAGCAAAAGGGAAAACTATATACCTTCACCTCCTGCCAAATATTCTCCTTTATATCAACATGCATCACATTCCAACTGAGATATGTAAGTGGGACTCTATGCACGTTGCGCACGATCAACCCCAATTGTCCCTTCAACTTTTTGCCATCATCCTCCACCGGCTGAAACTTATCATCAAATTTTACTTGGATCTTAGTGCCTATACCCTATTCCTTTATCCCTCGGGTGAATCCTCGACCTCGTCGTGTTAAGGTAGTTGATATTGTATGTGGAGATGAAACAGATAAAGAAGATGGTCCATCCATAGTGCGAGGTAGCAAAGGACTTGCCCGCACACGTAAAGCCTCATTTATAGTGCAAGGGGCCTTAAAGGTCTTCCTCTTTCACTTCATCCTAAAAT